CCAGGCCCACTGCTCTAAGCTCTCTCTCTCTACTACAAACTCCAGAGGGGGCCTGCCAGTGTGCGGGAGCCCCCTGCCTCACCAGACCCTCGGACACCAGAGACATGGGTGGGTTAAGACCAGCCTTGCAGGGAGACAAACCTACACTGACCCCCCAAATGCTCAAGGGGTCACTCCCTATCCCAGCCTAGGGGGCAGGACACCCCAGGCTGCAGCCAAGATGGCCGACACATGGAGGAACGTGGAGTCATGGCAGGATCCTATCTCAGTTTCTAACCCAAAGGTTTTGAGGTGGCAGGAGAGCACAGAGCTGCATGAAAATTCCCCACTGCCCCCTGCCAGCGTCATCGAACAGACCTGCCCTAAGGGAGGGGATGTAAGACTGCTCTGAGCTGTGTATTGGAAACTGTAAGTTTGACTGATTAGAAACTGCTGTAAGAATCTAAAAAGAGCCTGGTAGGACAGCTACAAAGGGGATGGGAAATGTGTAGTAGCAGCTCTGCATAACAGTTGTGGGTTTGAACTTCCACAGGTCACTGGTTAAAGTGACCCTGCTCACTTCAGTCTCAAAGGGGGAAGAAATGTGACCATGTGGAAATTTCCTGAAATATTTTGATAAATCCCACAAAAGTCTCGGTTTCCCTCCATACTTTGCATTGCTACCCGGTGGAGGCAAAAGGGAGCTCCTGGGGCAGTGCAGGAGACATGAGGTGTGTGTGTCTGCGCCCCAATGAACAGGGTCATTAAGGAACTGGCTGAAGCCGACCCATTTAAAGAAGAATCTGAAGGAGACAATGGGAAGCCCCAGTGACCAGAACATTGACACACTGAGCAGAGACCAGCTGGAGAACAGAGGTCAGAGGGCGAGTCCATAGATGCCCACTTCTAATGGCGCCGGTGGGTGCTCGACCCCTCTCTGCCCCCAGCCTCGCTTCGACTCCACCCCGGCCCTGCCCCCTCCTGCCCCCATTCTAACCCCTTCCCCAAAGTCCCCGCCCCAACTCCGCCTCCTCCTTGCCCCTATTCGACTCCTTCCCCAAAGTCCCTGCCCCGGCCCTGCCTCTTCCCTGCCTCCTCCCCTGAGCGTGCCACGTTCCCGCTCCTCTCTGCTCCCTCCCGGAGCTTGCTGCAGCTGTTTGGCAGTGGCAAGCACTGGGAGGGAGGCGGAGGAGCAGGGATGCGGCGTGCTCAGGGGAGGAGGCGGAGGTGAGGCAGGGCGAGGCAGGGTGGGGAGCTTGGCTGCCGGTGGGTGCAGAGCACCTACTAATTTTTCCCCGTGGGTGCTCCAGCCCCGGAGCACCCACAGAGTCGGCGCCTATGGGCCAGTCTACATTAGAAGCACAACATGGGCGCAGCTGCACAATGCAGCTGCCCTGCTGTAGTGTGACTGGGGAAGATGCTCTTCCATCAGCATCACAACTCCAGCTCTGTGAGGGTGGTAGTTATGGCGGCGGGAGAAGCTCTCCCAGTGACATAGCGCTGTGCACATGGGCGCTTAGGTCGGCGTGACTTACGTCGCTTGGGAGGGTGGCTTACTCACACCCCTGAGAGACATAAGTTATACTGACAGAAGTGGTAGTGTGTACAAGCCCTAGGCGTGACAAGCGTGGGCTTTGGGGAGACGCTGGGCTGCTCTCACCTGGGACTGACAAAGGGCAGAGACGGTGACAGAGCTTGAGTTGGGGAGTCCGTTTCAGCTTGGCTGGGTGAAGCCGTGGCCTGGCCAGACAGACTGTATCTACCTTCACTTCTCTCTGCTCCCATAAGGATTTCCAATGCTGTGTGCTAGGTGACTGATAAAGCTGTCTGATTTGAAACACTGCCGGGTGTCACTGCAAACACCTGCTGGGGTGTCGGAGCCCCCAAAGAGCAGCCAGGTCTCTCCCTGGAGTCTGGCTCAGTGGGAAACACTGAGCAGAGCTCATGGGGTGAAGCAGGAGGGCTGGAGTCCAGAGGCTCCATCTCAGAGGCAGTGAGGTCACATGGCCGGCCCTGCAGGAAGAGTGGGCAGGGGCACCATTTCAGATTTTGGTGTGCATGGGGCAACTTTAACCATGATTCCAGGGGCTACTTAGACACCTGAAAACGCTAGGTTTTTGGCAGATAATAGGGGTGGGGGAGCACAACCACAAATTATAACTCAAAGGGGGGACTCAGCTCAAAAAGTTTAAAAACTGCTCAGGGTGCAGTGAGGGGGTAGCTAGGGGCTGTGTGCCAGGAGAGGGGTAACTCAGGAGGCAGGGAGGGGCTGTGGCTGCAGGGCCAGGTGCTCAGTCCCTAGTTGGCACAGTGGGGCAGCTCTGCTCCATGTGGTCATGTGCACACCAGCCCGGGCCACGCCGTCCTACGTGGTTACCTTGGCCACCGGCCCCAGTGGTTCATGGGCACTGAGAACTACACCTACCTTAGCCTGTAGATCACAGCAGCCGTTACCCAGTCCACGTGGGGAAACTGATTGGGACATACAGAGGTGCCTGGCATCCCCGTTCGCCTTGTGCCCAATGTTTCTCTGTGCCGTCCCGAGCCCCCTAGCAGGGCTCAGGGCCAGCCCTGCACAGCAGGGCTCAGGGAGGGAGCAGGGCCAAATGGAAGGCAGAAATCTGGGTGACACCCCCCTCCCATGCATCACCTCTGTGATATAGCCAGTTGTGCAGGACCCCAATCTCTGTCCATGCAGGGGGGGCAGGTGCCCTCCCTAAATTGCACCTCTGAGAGTGGGATCAGCTGAGGGGCTGGCGCACTGAACGGGCTTCTCCAAGGAACCATTTAAAAGCTGGGGCATAGCACCAATCCTTTGCGTCCCTGACACCAACCAACACTAGGGCAGCACAAGGATCATCATCATCCCTAATCACATCAGCCATGCCATCAGGGGCTCGTTCACCTGCACATCTACCAATGTGATAGATGCCATCATGTGCCAGCAATGCCCCTCTGCCATGTACATTGGCCAAACCGGACAGTGTCTACGCAAAAGGATAAATGGACACAAATCTGACATCAGGAATCATAACATTCAAAAACTGGTAGGAGACCACTTCAACCTCTCTGGCCACTCAGGAACAGACTTAAGGGTGGCAATTTTGCAACAGAAAAGCTTCAAAAACAGACTCCAGCGAGAAACTGCTGAGCTTGAATTAATATGCAAACTAGATACCATTAACTTGGGTTTGAACAGATACTGGGAGTGGCTGGATCATTCCACATATTGAATCTATTTCCCCATGTTAAGTATCCTCACACCTTCTTGTCAACTGTCTAAATGGGCCATCTTGATTATCACTACAATTTTTTTTTCTCCTGCTGATAATAGCTCATCTTAATTAATTAGCTTCTTACAGTTTGTATGGCAACTTCCACCTTCTCTGTATGTATATCTATATCTATCTATATCTATATCTTCTTACTATATGTTCCATTCTATGCACCTGATGAAGTGGCTGTAGCCCACGAAAGTTTATGTTCTAATAAATGTGTTAGTCGCTAAGGTGCCACAAGTACCCCTGTTCTTCTTTCATCATCCTGTCTGTAGATGCTCTGTCTCAAAGGCAGAAATTCCCTTGCAAGCAGTGTTGCCAATTTAGACTTAGTGACTTTTTGGTTTCCTTAGCGAGAAAATAAGTGTCAAAGTCACCAGTGACAAATCTAGTGACTTTCACTGCCAACTACAGTGACATTCAGAGAAAGAAGTCACCAATATCTAAAGTGACAAAATCATTCACAAGCAGCTCAATAGTGTTAATAAAATCCATTCCATGCTCCATTCTGCTGCACAGGAAGTCAATGTCATTACGTCTCAATTGAGCACGTCCTTGGAAGGAATCCCATTCCAGGACTTCTTGGGCTGAGATCACTATAATTTGCAGGCGAGGAAAACAAGTTTGTGGAGGCTAATTAAACAGTTTGCTACAGCCAGGCGCACTTTGGAGTGAGCAGCCCATTAGCCAGGCCTTGTTTTTACCCATGTGTTCTTTCTCGCCACTCCATAGTAGGTAGCGCCCCCTGTAATGCAGGGAAAGATGGCTCATGAAGTGGGCAGGCTTGGGGAGCCAGTTAAGCCAGCGAGGCAAGCCGCACGGGTGGATGGCGGGGTAGGAGGAGACAGGGCCACCGGCCCCAGTGGGATGGGGGGCACCCTGCCTCCGGGAATGAAGCCCTTACTACAGGATCAAAGGTGGAGCGAGCTTGATTTCAGTTCCCCTTTACTCCTTCCCCTGGCTTGGCCAGGGGTTAGCTGCCCGGCTGTTTTCAGAAATCAAACCCTGGAAGCGGGGGGAAGGGGGTCCAGCTGGTGGATTTTTGGCTTCAAATCTACTCTCTTGGCTCCCTGCAGCGCCTCTTGCCCCGCAGGGCTCAGCCCCGCGTCCCCACACGGCCTGCGGTGACACACTTTGAGGTCTATGGTAATTGCTCACAAAATGGGGGCGGGGCTGGGCTGACTGACGTGACGTAACGCCCCGCCCCCGGCTGTCCCGACAAACTGCCACTCGCGCCACTGGCCCCTGGCGCCGCATGGTGGGGCGGACCCTGCTCTCGGGACTCTCCCATTCGCTGCCAAGAAAGGGAGGCGCGGCTGAAACTAACCAACCCCAGCGCGGCCGGCTGCAGGGTACGGCGCGCCCTGGCCAATGAGCGGCCGGAGGAGAGAGGCGAGAGCGCGCGCGCCCAGCGTGTGTCCGTGCACTGGGCGCGGTTTACTGGACTCCCCGCAGCCCCGCCCCCGGATTACGGCTCCCAGCAGGCTCCGCCTCACTCCCGAGGACGTGACGCCCGGCCCGACGCGCCGGAAGTGGGTCCCGGCGACATGACGTCGTTTGCGCGCGACGCCGCCCCTCCGACGGCTGGGTGAAGGTGACGGAGCGGAGCGCGCGGCCCAGACGGACCTGATCCCCGGCCTCGCCCGCCATGGCCGCGCGGCAGCTGCTGAGCCCTCGCGGAGCTGCTGCCTTGCGCCGCTTCTCCGCCGCGGTGAGTGGGGGGCGGGGCCTGGGGCCTTCTTCTCCCCGCCCCCGGCGATGACTCTGGAGCCGAGTGACGCCGGCTCCGCCCCTCCCCCCGGGACACCCCTCCCCCCCGCCCCAGGGCCGGGCCGGGGCCGGAGCTGGGCATCGGCTTGGCCTCAGCCTTCCCTCTGGGCCCGAGCCTGCCCCCCCTACCCCGCATTGTCCCTCCTCTGCCCCCGCGCAGGGCCTCCCCGCTGGGGGCCAGGGCAGCGCTGGGTAGGACTGGGGTAGTGCTGGGGGGTGGGTGGTCCCAGGTTAATGCCTGGCCATGAGGGAGAGGTGCTGCTTGCTGTGGGGCTGGTACCAAGTCACCTTGGCCATGTGCTTTCTGCAGACAGCTCCTAAGAAAACCCAGTTTGGCTCTTTGAAGGACGAGGACCGGATCTTCACGAATCTCTACGGACGCCATGACTGGAGGTGAGAGCCAAGCTGCACAGCCTACAGTATGACTCCTCACTCCTGGACCGTGTGATACTGCCCTCTACTTCTACTCTGATTACAGCTGGAGTGTGGACCAGTGGGCACTGGGAGCCCTGTGGTGGGTGGGAAGAGATCCTATGTTCTGGTCACCCCCTACTCCTAGCCGTATGGCTGGATGGGTGCTGGCACCCTTCAGAGAGGAAAAGCCCCATGTCCCATTCTCCAGCCTCCTGAGCCTGCTGGGCCCCCTCCTCCTCCCTGGAGGTGAATTGGAGCTGGCACCTCCTAGAGGTGAAAGACCCTGCACGTTCCCCACCAGTTCCCCCGCCCTGGGATCAGATTACAGTCAACGCCCCCTGGATGGGAAAGGTCCTGCATTCCATTCCCCAACCCTGAGCTTGCCAGTCCCCCTTCCCTGTCCTGGGGCTGGGTTGGAGCTGGTGCCCCACGGAGGTAAAAGAGCCTGCATCTGTTTGGTTTGTGCTCTAGGTTTGGTACTACTGATCCCCATAATGTAGCCAGCTACTTTGCCTTCTCTTTTGTCCAGGCTGAAGGGGGCTCTGAGCCGGGGTGACTGGTACAAAACGAAGGAGATCCTACTGAAGGGGATCGACTGGATCTTGAATGAGATCAAGACCTCGGGCCTGCGAGGTCGGGGCGGGGCTGGCTTCCCCACAGGCCTCAAATGGAGCTTCATGAACAAGCCTTCAGATGGCAGGTGGGTGGGGCAGGGCTGCTACTGTTGAGCCTGCTGCAGCATGGGATGGACAATGGCCCAGAGCGATACAGCTCCTTCTCCTAGTCTGAAACATCGCTGTGGGGCAGGGCTTGTGGGGTGGGCAGTGCTCGGGCCTGCATAGAACCTAGACATCCTGGCTGCAAGCTCCCAGCACTAACAGGCGTTCCTGGAGTATCTCCACCCCGGGGGCAGTCCCATTGCAGGGCATGGGGCTGCTGAGCTGCAGTGTGTCTGGGCCCCGTTGGCTCCCTAGGGTGGGGACAGCTGGCAGTACTGGCCAAACGGGCTTTGCTCGCTGGCAGCAAGGTGGTGGAGCCGGGTCTGCTGTGGGATGGTAGCTCACGCAGGGAGGGCTGCTGCGGTCAGTTCGACGGGGTCTGTGTTCCAGGCCCAAGTACCTGGTGGTGAATGCAGATGAAGGGGAGCCAGGCACCTGTAAGGACCGCGAGATCATGCGCCATGACCCACACAAGCTGGTGGAGGGCTGCCTGGTGGCAGGGCGCTCCATGGGGGCCCGGGCTGCCTACATCTACATCCGTGGGGAGTTCTACAATGAAGCCTCCAACCTGCAGGTAAGCAGGAGCTATGTGGGGAGCAGGTGCACTAACCCATAGAGCCTGGGGAGTTGTGGGGTGGGGCAGCAGCCACCACTTTGACCCATTTGCCCATGTGGCACAGAGAGCAGGGCTGCGGGTGTCACGGCAGGAGCAGCTGTACTGACTGGTCTCTCTACAGGGCACAGAGGGCAAGGCAAGCCAGGGAGCCAGGCCAGGCGGGTGTGGAGCAGCAGGGCCGGGGGAGCAGCTGTGCTGACCTGTCTCCCTGCAGGTGGCGATCCGTGAGGCCTATGAGGCCGGCCTGCTGGGCAAAGATGCCTGCAACTCAGGCTACGACTTCGATGTGTTTGTGGTGAGAGGCGCTGGGGCCTACATCTGTGGGGAGGAGACAGCGCTGATTGAATCCATTGAGGGCAAGCAGGGCAAGCCACGCCTCAAACCACCCTTCCCGGCTGACGTTGGTACGACCCACCGGGGAACTGTGCTGTTGGGGGGAGATGGGGGGTGCCTTAGTGGGGGTTCGCTTGCCCTCTTTAGGGTACTGAGGGATTGTGGGGTGTTCTAGCTGGGTCCCGCTGTCCTGCTGCTTGTGGGGCAGGGGGGTCACGTTGTTTTGGAGCACTGGGACCCCCAGCCTGCTCTGCGTCCATGTCACTGCTCTCTCCTTCCCCAGGTGTGTTCGGCTGCCCCACTACCGTGGCCAATGTGGAGACGGTGGCTGTGGCGCCCACCATCTGCCGGCGTGGGGGGGCCTGGTTTGCCAGCTTCGGGCGCGAGCGCAACTCGGGCACCAAGCTCTTCAACATCTCTGGGCACGTGAACACGCCCTGCACCGTGGAGGAGGAGATGTCGGTGCCGCTCAAGGAGCTGATCGAGAAGCATGCAGGTGAGATGCCAAACCCCAGTCCTCCCCTGACTGCTGGGTGAGCAACAGGGCTGGACACCCGCCCGTCCCCCCTTCCCCTCTTAGGCCACTTTGTCTCAGGGCTGCCCCACAGGTCTAGCTCCAGCTGTGGCGGCTGTGGGTAGCTCACCCTACAGAAGTAGGCAGGTGTGTGGGGGGAGTGATGGGGGAGACAAGTGCTGGCCCGCTAACCCTGCTTGTGGCCTGTGCGCAGGGGCTGATCTGTCGCTTCCACCCAGAGCCTGGAGTAGCAGGTGGCACTAGGAGGAGGCTTGGGCGGAAGGAAGGGGACAGCACTGGGCATCATGGATCTGGTTTGCCATGGGGAGGGGAAGTGCTAGGCCTAACCCTGCCCCCTCTGTGCACAGGAGGTGTGCGTGGTGGCTGGGACAACCTCTTGGCGGTGATCCCAGGAGGCTCCTCCACCCCCCTCATCCCCAAGTCAGTGTGTGAGACGGTGCCCATGGACTTCGACGGGCTGGTGCAGGCGCAGACTGGGCTTGGCACAGCTGCCGTCATCGTCATGGACAAATCGGTAAGGCCTTGGCCTGCCGGTGGCACGCTCTCTTCCCCCCCGCCCCCCCTCCCCCGCAGTGTGGCACTCACCCTCTCTTCCTTCCCCAGACAGACATTGTCCGAGCCATCGCCCGCCTCATTGAGTTCTACAAGCACGAAAGCTGTGGGCAGTGCACCCCCTGCAGGGAGGGTGAGTGCTGGGAGCTGGGCTGCTGCTGATCTGGGTATGACTGGGGGAGATATGCCAGACTGCCCATTGGTGGGATCGGAGTTGGTGGTGGGGGAGGATGCTGGGAGAGCTGGGGTCACTGGGTGTGGTGGGGAGGATGCTGGGCTGGCTGGGGTCACTGGGGTTAGGATGGGGCAGGGAGGATGTCTGACTAGCTGGGACCATGGGTGGAATTGGGGTGAGGATGCTGGACTGGCTGGATCTGTGGGTGTTGGGGGTGGGGGGGGGGGATGCCCAACTGTCAGGGCCTATGGGTGGGATCGGGGGAGGGCAGTTCTGCTGATGCAGCCTCGCCCCCCACCCCAGGTGTGGATTGGATGAACAAGGTGATGTGGCGGTTCGTGCAAGGCAATGCGCAGGCAGCTGAGATCGACGCGCTCTGGGAGATCAGCAAGCAGATTGAGGGCCATACCATATGCGCCCTGGGCGATGGGGCCGCCTGGCCTGTGCAGGTAGCGGGCGGCTGGGCACCAGGGCAGGGGTGGCCTGGCAGAGGGAGGGGGTGTGGGTAGGTGGTGGGTGTGTGCATAAACTAGCCTGACACAAGGGCTGTGTGTGTGTGTGTGAGAGAGAGGCTCCTGCAGATGGGGGGGGGTACATCTGGGGGCTACTCTGCGTGTGGTGAGGGGTGGATGGCAGATGCAGGATGGGGAGAGGTGCTACCTTGCCAGCCCTGCACACTCATTCCTTGCTTGCAGGGGCTGATCCGTCACTTTCGCCCAGAGCTGGAGCAGCGGATGCGGCGTCATGAGGAGACCCAGGCTCGGCAAGCGTCCGCGTGAGGGCTGGGTGCCCGGTGATGGAGGGGGCTGGATCCCGCCTCTCTGTGCGTGGTCAGCGCCCCTCCCCCATGACAGCAGGTGGGAGGGGCTGAGCACTTGATCCGCATGGGGGCAGCCCTCGGTGCCTCTGGGTGTTGATAGGTTTCTCTGGCATGTGCGGGGCGGGTGACTTACCTGTGTGTATATTGGGGTTCCTCTTGCATGAGGGGGAGACCCCCTGGCTGTGCTGTCTCCTCACCTGCCCACTGGGTGAGCTCCTCAATAAATGTGCTGTGGTGGCAGCTTGTATCTCCTTCCTGTGTGAATGCGCATCTGTGTAACGCTAGGGAGCAGCTGGGCACGGAGCCCCAGGCTGCTGTCCCTCGCATGGGGCCCCCTCTCTTCCAGAAGAGGGGCGGGTTGGGTTCCATTACAGCTGTGGCGATCTGGCTTATTTTTGGGGGTGATCTGGTACCAGTTGAGCTCTGCTTGGGTCTAATTTGAAAGCCTGACCTGACGCTTCCCCGAGCCAGTGCTGCTGCTGCCTCCGCGTCCTCAGGGCTTCCTGCCCTCAGGCCCCTGCAATCTGTCTGGGCCGCCTCTTGCCTGGGAACTTGGAGGTGCCGCGACTCGTTGGCATGCTCACTCTGCAGCACAGGCCGTGTGGCTGGGCAGCAGTGACTGGCAAGAGACTAGCAGGTGGCTGCTGCTGTGCCAACCCCAAGGGCAGCAGGTGGTCAGATCGGACTGGAGCCCACGGGGTTGGGCTGTTTTCTGACCTCACTTCACCCAAACTGGCCCCTAGTGAACAGGTTGCGGGGGGGGGGGTTGCGGAGCGGTGCTGTGGGAGTGGGGGAGAGCATGGGCAGTGGGCAGCGAGGACTGGCCTCAGAGAGCCTGGCCAGGGCCCACATGTGGGTGGAAGAGTGGCCCTGTGGGAGGGGGCCACGCTGGGGCACCAGGGGTTCCTCCAGTCCCCGTTGCTGGCAGGGGTGGGGTAAAGGGGGGGGGGGCTGTTCATGAGTTCCTGTTGGTGTTTCCCACAGGGGCAGGAGCTGAAGCCCAGCAGGGGGCAGCACTTGGCCCTGGGCCACTGCTCCCCCCCCCCAGCACTGAGGTGGCACACTGAACTCAGGGAGGTTTGTTTATGCGTAGGCCCCACATGAAATACAGCAGGCTCCAGCATCACGGCTCACGCAGGTCTCACCAGTATCCCCCCTCCTGACACCATGTAACTCTTCTCCCCCGCAGCATTATCAGGGGCTGGGGATTCCCTCCTGGGGTCACCCCCTCAGCGCTGTCCCACGCTTCTAGGGCAGGCATGCCCAGCCTGCTCCTCTTGTTCTTTCTGCCCTTGAGGTGAGGGGACACCTCACCCAGCCTGCCCCGCTGGCTCTCTCTGCCTCCAGGGGGACCTCACCCAGACCAGCCAGCTGGCTCTCTCCATGCTGCGGGGTGGGGCAGTCCATAGCGCAGGTGGGCTGGGGGCTCAGCGGGGGCTGGGCGGGCGTGTTCTCCGGCGGTAGACGCTGGGCGCCAGCAGCTCCAGCGTGAGGTCCGTGATGATGGCTGTCAGCCCCCACACCCGGTAGCGGCTGTTGAGGAAGATGGGCAGCGTGTGGCTGTAACGACCCTGGTGGCGGAAGTGGGTGTAACCGTGGTTCTGGGCCTGCAGCAGATGAGACAGAGGGATGGTGAAAACATCCTCGACCTGGGGGCGGAGAGAGACACAAACAGCATGTTGGTGTTGCGCTGCCCGGCAGGGTCCCCTTACCCCCGTGCCTGGCCCCCGGGCTGGGCTAGGGAAGCAGCACACCCGAGTGCCCTACGGGGGGCTGTGTTCCATGGCCCCAGCACACAGCACCTCCTACAGTAGAGTAGGGCCCGGGAGAGGAGCTCCCTCCTTGACAAGCCTCCCTCCCCACTAGGGGAGTGTATTCTCGAGCACAGATACTCCTGCAGCATGACAGCATCTTGCTGTTCCCCCCCCAGGAGCTGCAGGCTCATCCCCTGTCCCCCTGGGAGCTCCCCACTGGGCCATTCCCCTCTGGAGCTGATGGAGGCCTTTTCAGGGTGACCTCTAGGAACCGTGCTCGGCCCTCTGCTGTTCAGCTTTATGAGGGATGGCTGGTGGCAAAGCAGGCAGGCGGCACAAAGGCGACCTCTACCCTCTTAAAACCCCCCGGTAGCGAGCCTCAGAGCCATATAGACGTGGCTTGGGCTGGAGCTTCAGAGCCCACCCCCTGCCCCGGCTTCAGGCCTCGAACCCACACGGCTGTTTCCAGAGCTCCGGCAGAAGCCCAGGGCTGTAGAGCCGGGCTCACTACCGGCTGCAAGTTTTAAAACGCAGCGTAGACATCCCCAAAGGTGGCAGGGACGCATCAGACCTGGCCCCTTCCATCCTGCCTAGTGCCAGCTCCTGTGGCTGAGAATGGAGCCTGCAGGTCAGGCTGAAGGGTAGGGCTGTCCTTGGCAAGCTGGGACCCTGAGTAGCCCCCAGGGGTCCTGGTGGCTGAGAGGTGAATGCAGTCCTTGGTGTACAAGTGGAGACAGCGAGCAGGGAGGGGGAGGGCCCACCCCGGGTTACCGCATCCAGTGCTGGGATTGGCCTTGCCCAGAGAACACCATCTCACGGCTCTGTCCAGGAGGTGTCATGCATCCATGGGATCGGTGCTGCACCCCAACTTTGAGAGTTGCTTAGAGGAGCCCTTCTGTGTACCAACCCCCCAAGGGGTCCCACTCTTCCTCTCAGGCCTCTGAGAGTGGGCCACTAGGTTCCATCCCTCCTGCTCCACCCCATGAGCTCTGCCCAGTGCATCCCACTGAGCCAGGCCCCTGCTCAGAGACTTGTACACTCTTCGGGGACTAATGCACCCCAGCCAGTGTTTGCAGTGACACCAGGCAGCCTTTCCCACACACAGCAGGGTTTATTAGTCACCTGGAACCAGTCTGGGGAGGGTCTTAGGGCAGCAGAGAGAAATAAAGGTTAAGACACTGTCCATCTGGCCAAGCCAGTGCCATCTACCAGCCAAGCTGCTTGGTCTCCATTTCAGGCTCCGTCTGTCCCATTCTCAGTCTCAGATGAGCATGCTGTCTCTCTCAAATGCCCTCTCCTATCCCTTTCTGGCCTCTCTGTCATCGGTTCTCGAGCTGGCCTAGGCTCTGCTTCCCTGCCGTGAGGTGGGGGGAACCTCCTTCTTCATGTCTCCTGGTTGCTATGTGTGCGTGTTCTCGTCACTGTGGCTTCCTATCATCTTTTTTGGCTTAGGCATTGATATGGCTCGGTTTCAGCAGGTTCTAGCTAGTTCCTTGTTCGCTGCACCCCACACAACAAAACGCCACCCACACCTCATGTCTCCTGTGCTGCCCCAGGAGCAAACTTAACTCTTCTTTCATAGCTTCCAAGGCCAGAAACGACCGTTGCCGGCATCTGGTGTGACCTCCTGTCTAACCCAAGCCAGGGAACTGCCCCAAAACAATCCGTAGAGCAGAGCTTTTAGCAGAACATCCAGTCTTGATTTAAACATTGCCAGGGATGGAGAATCCACCCTGACCCTTGGTAAATTGTTCCAGTGGTTAATTACTCTCTCTGTTAAACATTTACACCTTATTTCCAGTCTGAATTTGTCTAACTTCAACTTCCAGCAATGGGATCCTGTTAGACCTTTCTCTGCTAGACTGAAGAGCCCATTATTAACTATTTGTTTCCCATGTACGTACTTATGGACTCTGATTGAGTTGCCCCTTAATTTTCTCTTTAAGATAAACAGACTGAGCACCTTGAGTATCACTATAGGGCAGGTAATCATTTTCATAGATCTTCCCTGAACCCTCTCCAATGTATCCAAATCTTTCTTGAACTGTGGGCTCCAGGACTGGACACAGCAGTGGTCACACCAGCAGCAACTACAGGGGTAATGTAACCTCCCTTTTTCTACTCAAGATTAGTCAGCATCACATTAGCTCTTTTGGCCTCACCGTCACACTGGGAGCTCATGTTCAGCTAACTACCCATGACTCCCAAAATCTTTTTCAGAGTCACTGCTTCTGAGGATACAGTCCCTCACCCTGTAAATACAACCTACCTTTTTTGTCCCTAGATGTATACATTTACCCATACTCAAATACATAGTTTGCTTGTGCCCAGTTTCCCCAGTGTTCCAGATCACGTGGTATCTGTGCTCCTGTCCTCTTCATTATTTACAAAAAGAAAAGGAGTACTTGTGGCACCTTAGAGACTAACCAATTTATTTGAGCATGAGCTTTGTGAGCCACAGCTCACTTTGAAGTGAGCTGTGGCTCACGAAAGCTCATGCTCAAATAAATTGGTTAGTCTCTAAGGTGCCACAAGTACTCCTTTTCTTTTTGCGAATACAGACTAACACGGCTGTTCCTCTGAAACCTTTCATTATTTACCACTCCCTGACTTTTGTGTCATCTTCAAACTTTATCAGTGATGATTCTGTGTTTTCTTCCAGGTCACTGACAAAAATGTTAAATAGTGCAGGGCCAAGGACCAATTCCCCTGGGACCTCGCTGGAAACGCACCTTCTCAATGCAATTTCCCATTTAAAATTTTCCACCACTGGGTGGCACTGCAAAGTATGTGTGGGAGGAACTGAGGCACACATAGCATTCATAGACCTACTACAAACAAATCCACAGTCACAGAAGACGAAGAGGTGACTGAGTCTGGTGCATAAGGATCGCCAAAGGAGAGCATTTCTGAGAGCAGGTGACTATGTAACTTCAGACACAGGGCTGGGATCAGACTGGAAATAAGGCACAAATGGCTAATAGGGAGAGAAAATAATGCTTGGAACAAGGTGCCCAGGCAGAGCGAATTCCCTATCATTCTTCCTTGAACTCTCAGGCCACGTCTACGCTAAGGGTGCTGCAGCTACGCTGCTGAAGCGAAGACGCTTCCTACAAGGATGGAAGGGATTTTTCCATTGCTGCAAGAACTGCACCTCTCTGAAAAGCAGCAGCTAGGTCCTCCGAAGCGTTCTTCTGTCGACCTAGCCCTCTCCGCTCCAGGGGCTAGGCTGGTGCAGCTATAGCGCTTGGGGCGGGTGGAGAATTCTTCACACCCCTAAGAGCCATAGCCGGCTCATCCTAACATTTAAGTGTAGACCAGCAGGCCTCAGGGTCTCTTTGCAGGAGATGGGCTCTCCCCCAAGCCAGGACACTACTGCCCGAGTGGGTTGCTAGGTGGGGCGCTCCAGTTGCTGCAGGAGGGGAGCTGCTGAGCAGGGCAGGGGAGGGGTCCCCCAGCAAGGGGCACTGGGGTGGTCTTGGGTTACTGGATTGGGGCAGGAACTCAGCCAGGGTGATTGGGAAGGTCCACTCTGGCCAGACCATGAGTCACTCCAGGTAGGGGGAGCCTGATGCAGGCAGCCAGGTCCATGGTGACACTGGTCCCAGCTGCCCATAGGCCAGGGGCTCTGCTGATCTCCCTCCCTGCAGGAGGCCAGCACGCTAACCAGGCTGGGGTGCCACCCTCTGGCCAGGGACCCGAAGGATGTGGGGGGCCCTGCACGTGCTAAGGGCAGCCGCAAACAGCACAGCCATGGCGGGGTGGGGAATGCGTGGGGCTCACCTCTTGTGGGTTGGGGCTCAGACGCACACACTCCAAGGGGCCCAGATGTGCCAGGACGGGAGCTACAGTCAGTCCCCTCTGGAAGGAAACCAGAGTGAGACCTCACTGACACTGGCTTCCCTAGGAACCTCTCCCCATCCCAGGACCCACCTTTGCCTCACAGAGGTATCCCCTGCCCGCAGGACCCACCTCCACCTTGTAGCACCGCCCCCCCTGCAATCCTCCCTAAGAGGCCCCTTGGCCTCACAACACTGCTGCAACAGAACCCACCCCTATTGGGAGAGCCCCCATGGACCCTCCACGTTGCAGTACCACCCTCCTCCTCAGAGAGACCCCCCCATGGACCCTCCTCCTGACAGCACTGTCCCCCAGAATCTCCCTCTCCTCAGAGAGGGCCCCCTCCGATAGCCTCTCTGCCTCACCACCCCCACACCATGGGACACACCCTGCCTCAGAGGGATCCTCCCTGCCAGCCTTCCACCTTAGGATCTCCCTCCTCTGAGACCCCCCCATGGCCCACTACCTCACAGCGCCCCCACCCCAGGACACACCCCACCTCAGAGAGAGAGACCCCCAATGGGACATCCCCACCTTACAGTGCACCGCCCCCCCATAGGACCCTTCCCTGTCACACAGTACACACACCCCAAAAGACCCCTTCAACAGGACCCTCCTGCCTCACAGCACCTCCCCTCACATTGCCACGCGCAGTGGACCCCAGCCTCAAGAGGATCCCAACTCACATGGCTGCCCCCCATGGGACCCTGCTCCAGAGCAACACCCCACCCTTCATGCTGCTCCTCCCACATGATCCCACCCCAGAAAAATCCGCCCTGCCCCAAAGTGATCCCCCCCACCCCAGGACTCTGCCCCAGAGAGACCCCCCCCCCTTCCCTCACACTACCCTACCCCAGAGAGATCCTCCCGCCCTTCTCTCACACTGCCCTGCCCCAGAGATTCCCTCACACTGCTAGGGGAGTGGAGTGGTGTTACCCCAGTGGGTAGGGGTCTCATGACCCCCCAGACGCTCTCAGCCCCCAAGTGCAGGCCCAGCTCTTCCTGAGTCTCCCTCAGCGCTGTGGCAATCACATCCTGGTCGGAGCTGTCGCGTTTGCCGCCCGGGAAACTGCAACAAGAAAACCAGAGTCTCCTTAGAGGGGAGGCAAGACCCATTGCCTCAGGCGCTGTGGCAGGCAGAAGGGGCATCTTCCACCCTGGCACCAGATGCTCAGGAACTGGCCAAAGGGGCATAGACTTATTACAGGACCGCAGAGAAGAGCTTCCATTAACTATTGAAACAACAGAGGGGTGGAGGGGCAGCGGCAGAGCTGTGCGTGAGGAGAGCCCAGGGCTGGGATAGCAGGGGACTGGGAGGTGGGACCGAGTTGCACTGGGAGGTGGGGAGCCCTGGGCTGAGATAATGGGGCTGTGGGTCAGGATTGAGGGGCACCGGCAGAACTGTGTGGGGGTAGCTCTGGGCTGAGATAACAGCGGGGTGTAGGCTGGGATTCAGGGGCACTGGTAGGGTTGTAGAGGGGGGTGGGAGGGAGCCCAAGGCTGTGATAGCAGGAGGTGCAGGCTGGGATTGACGGGCACCGGCAGAGCTGTGGAGGGGTGCGGGGAGCCCAGGGCTGGGATAGCCGGGGCTGTGGGTTGGGATTGAGGGGCACCAGTAGAGCTGTGGGAGGGGGGTAGCCCAAAGCTGGGATAGCAGGGGGTGCAGGCTGGGATTGAGGGGCACCGGCAGAGCTGTGGGAGGGGGGTAGCCCAAAGCTGGGATAGCAGGGGGTGCAGGCTGGGATTGAGGGGCACCGGCAGAGCTGTGGGAGGGGGGTAGCCCAAAGCTGGGATAGCAGGGGGTGCAGGCTGGGATTGAGGGGCACCGGCAGAGCTGTGGGAGGGGGGTAGCCCAAAGCTGGGATAGCAGGGGGTGCAGGCTGGGATTGAGGGGCACCGGCAGAGCTGTGGGCGCAGGGAAGGTAGGCTTGGGGAGCAGGGCTGCAGGGCACTCAGTGCGTCGAGGGCCGTGGTACCTGACATCTCCCTTGTGCTGGCCCGTCAGCGTGCTGGAGCGCAGCGTGTACAGCAGTGCCGGGTACCCGCCCACAGAACACAGCGTCACCAGGACAGCCGCTGCCACCGCCTCCTGCCGGTAGCGTCTGGTGGAGGCCTCCAGCAGCCCTCGGCACCGCTGCTCATTCTCCCGGGACAGGTACTCCCCTGCAGAGCCGCCTGCCCTCCTGGCACCAAGTGTGGGGCGGGCACCCAGGCGGAGGTGGTGCAGGGCAGGGAACATCACACCCTGCGGAGAGAGCGAGAGGACAGCACAACTGAGGCCAGCTGCCCTTCACCGAGCCACGGCCACGTCAGCTCGCAGGGCAGAACTCACTGGGTGGAGCAAGGGGGCTGGAGGCCAGAGGCTCCATCTCGGTGGCAGTGAGGCTGGGTGGCCTGCCCTGAAGGAAGAGTGGGACCCCCTGGAGGCCTGGTGCATTGAAGGGTTCCAAGCACTGTTTAAAAACTGGGGCCTAGCACCGATCCTGTGGATCTGTGGCAAATGAGTTCAAGTACTGTGGAGCCTGGAGTGGGTAGGTGGCTGGACAGTGGGTTCCAACACTCACAGGGGGGTGCCAGATAGCAGGTCTGTGCTCTGGGTGCGTGCCTAGGGACCCTGAGATTGGGCAGTAGCTGGACTCTGTTCAGGCTCCAGGTGTTTGAAATACCCCAGAGATCCAGAGCACAAAGGCTTGGATTCCATCTCACAGCAGCCCTAGCAGAACCCTTCCACCACCATGCCCACTCACCCATCCCCTCCACCACCATGCACCTCTACCCTCATCCCCACCCACCATGCTTCCACTCACCCACTGCCATGCCACCTCCTACTGCTACACCCATCCACCACAAGCCCATCCCCTCCACCACCACACTATGCCACCCCTACGAACACCCACCCCTCCACCCACTCATCCCTATGCACTCTCACCCATCTCTCCTCCCATCACTGCTACGTGCAGTCACCCATCCCTTCCTGCACCCCCATGCACACCAGGGATAGCATGGTATTTACCAGAGGTGGTGTTTTTACCAGGTAAAATCATGGTTTTTACTACCCTGGGAAAAACTAGTTAGTCCCAATTTAAGGCATTTTAAAAACGGTTTCAGAAATGCACACCACTTTAGTTACATATTGAAAATGCGGTTCCATAAGGCAGTAGATTCAGTGATTAATTTAGGGTTGTACAAATAAAAAGTAAAACTGCACAGGGCATAATACGAATATATGTAATTAGGAACGTCGGAATGCCTGTGTCCAATTTGGTTTGGTATTTTCCTCAAGGAAATCATACGGGTCATGACTCATTTTCAATATTATACAAATATCAAAACCATCTGAGGATATGAAAATGACAGCAATGCAGAGGTGCAAGCTTGATGCATTACGCAATCAGAAGCATGCAGCGTTGCAGGCGACCAGCCTGGGTCCAACTGGCCATGCAGCATTCTGCAGCAGTAGACCAACTTTGATGCAGCGGATAGACCGAGCCTATTCCTCAGTTATGAATGGATGTATCCAAAGTTTAAAAGATTCGTTCTTTGCTTGCTGCACTTGCTGGGCACTGATGCAATTGCATCACCAGTTCTATGAAGTTAGATGGACTATCAGCATCCTTCAGATTTTCCCATCCTTTTTCTTCACAGTGGATGAAAACGTAGATTTCTTTCTGCTTTAAATGCAAGTAAATATTGCGCAACATTCAGATTTTTGCCAAGCACCCACTGCTTTGCAATATATTCTTGTTCAGCTGACGGTTTCCTTCCTGAGTGTTTTCCTGAGAAGGAGGTTGATCAACATGTGTACAGGAGTAATTGCCTCAGGATGTCTCTTTTGTACTTTTGCTTTATGTGGTGCAAGATCTTCATTTATCTGCAGATCCAACCATACTTCACATGTAACAGCAACTGTTGATGTGTGTCCCTTTGGAGTGTGTCAAGTGCCACCGCAACTGGTTTCAATTGAGTGATCAAGTTCTTTGCTTCTTGGTAAATTCCTTGAGTATTAATTATACTGATCGCTCTATCTTCAAATTCTGCCTCATGAGTTCTCACAATCCTGAGATAATGTGGCCGATTTTTAACTTATGTTTCCAAGCATGTTATTTGATTGTTCCATCGTGTCACTGGGGATTCGGCATTCTTTGAACCAAGCTCCAGGCTGACAGCGATTTACAAAAATATTCTGGCAATCTACATTTCATCAAAGCACTTAGTGTACGTTCTTGTCCAAGAAGATTGAGTCAATATGATGCACATCCATCGTCTTCCAAATCAATCATACTTTCCATCTTTTTCTTATTTTCTATCATGTCGCTCTTCACAATGCAACTGTACAGTTCATTTGCTAATGCCTTGGCTTCTCTTGCCAGTGTAGCATAGTACTGTCCAGGCTTCTTATTACATACCATATCAACCACTGACGCATGAAGCAGTCTTCCCTATTTGCACACAGTGAGCAATCCACACAGTTATGCCAGCCGTAACTGTTTTTCCATGTAATTTGTTGCATGCTTCCACCCCTCAAGCCATCAGTAACTGCATTTCACTGTTCACCTGGTACCTGCTTTTGACTGGGTGCTCGGTAGCCTGGCCGTAGGCAGCTGATCATTGCTTGAAAAGTTGGATGCTCAATAACAGAAAAGGGAATATTACTGCTACAAAAAAAATTAGCAATTTTCCAGTCCCTCTTTTGTTTCAGTTCTGGAGTTTTTTTTTTTTTTTCTGGAGTGATTGAAAACAACATGACACTTCCTGCTCGTTGTCTTTGGCTGACCTGGATCCAGCTTCCTTCTGAAGTACTTGGCAATGGCAATGCAGTAATATCAGTACCTTCACCCTCAGAGTCTGAGTCTAACGCTCACAGATGTTTAGCCAAAGTCAGTCGGTTCTGGGAGTCTCCTTCTCTCACGGCATTCAGCGAAAAGGTTCCCCGCCTGAGATCTCAGTCGTACCACTCGCTTGTTCTTTGCAATTTCTGTAGCACTGCCTCTCTTCGCCACCTCCGCAAACTCTCTCACAATAGCCATGACTTGGGTCGAGTGGTTTTTCCACCTTTCGCTCATGCTGAAATATTTGGACTTGGAGTCACCGTGCGCGCTGAGTCCAGCGGCCTCGCTCCAGCCACCCTGGCCAAGGGACAGAGGCCCGGGGTGGGCAGCTCCCGACCAACAGGAGCCAACAGGCTTCCGCAGCTGCGAGTCCTGTGATGAATTTGCAGAAGGCACATAGGGAATTCTCCACACCCAGCAGGGTAGGACAGGCCCAGGTCCCTTTCTGTTGGAGGGAGCCAAGGCAACAGTGTATACAGCCCATGCACCCCCCGCCCCATGCATCCCGCTCCATCTCTCTGCACCCCCCGCCCCATGCATCCCCCCCCACCTCTCTGCACCCCCTCCCCATGCACCCCCGTAACCCCCTGCACCCCCCACCCCATGCATCCCCCTCCATCTCTCTGCACCCCCGTAACCCCCTGCACCCCCGGCCCCAACTCCCAGGGGCTCGCGCGGCCGTGTCTGGCCCCACGTGCTCTGGGGTGTCCCTGGCCGCGCACAGCCGGGCACCGGGCCCCGCCGCCCGCAGGGCCGAGTCTCACCAGGCAGCTCCTCGGACACCGCGGGGTCAAAGCGCCCGCGTTGCCCTCAACAAAGATGGCCCCTGAGCCAGCTTCTCCGACCATTAACAGACCTCCCCCGGCGACTTCCGCCCCAGAAAAACATGGCGGCAGAAGCCCCCGCCTCCCGCCGCTAACAGCCAATCAGATGACGGGAGGGCGAGCTGCGGCGAAGACACGCCCCCTTTCTGGCCCCGCCCTCTAGGCTTGGATGTGGGGTGGGAGCTTGGGGGCAGTGACCGAGCCCTGAAGCACCTGACTATTTAGAGCCCCGCCCCTTTCCAGAGGGGACCCCCCGCCCACCAGCCTCTGGGAATCCCACCCCCAAACCCCTCTCCACAACCCCCCAGAGTCCCCAGCCCTGCTGCCTGCCCTCTGGGAATCCCACCCCCAAACCCCTCTCCACAACCCCCCCCAGCCCTGCTGCCTGCCCTCTGGGAATCCCACCCCCAAACCCCTCCCCACAACCCCCCCCAGAGCCCCCAGCCCTGCTGCCTGCCCTCTGGGAATCCCACCCCCAAACCCCTCCCCACAACCCCCCGCTCTGCTGCCTGCCCTCTGGGAATCACACCCCCAAACTCTCCCCACCACCCCCCAGAGCCTCCCCACCCCCCCCCAGCCTGCCCTCTGGGAATCCCACCCCCAAACCTCTCCCCACAACCCCCCAGAGCCTCCTCACCCCCCCCCAGCCTGCCCTCTGGGAATCCCACCCCAAACCTCTCCCCACAACCCCCCCCAGAGCCTCCCCACCCCCCCCCCCAGCCTGCCCTCTGGGAATCCCACCCCAAACCTCTCCCCAAACCCCTCCCCACAACCCCCAGCCCTGCTGCCTGCCCTCTGGGAATCCCACCCCCAAACCTCTCCCCACAACCCCCCCAGAGCCCCCTCACCCCCCCCCGCCTGCCCTCTGGGAATCCTACCCCCAAACCCCTCCTCACAACCCCCCCCAGAGCCCCCAGCCCCGCTGCCTGCCCTCTGGGAATCCTACCCCCAAACCCCTCCCCACAACCCCCCAGAGCCGCCAGCCCAGCTGCCTGCCCTCTGGGAATCCCACCCCAAACCTCTCCCCTCACCCCCCAGCCTGCCCTCTGGGAATCCTACCCCCAAACCCCTCCCCACAAACCCCCCAGAGCCCCCAGCCCTGCTGGCTGCCCTCTGGGAATCCCACCCCCAAACTCCTCTCCACAACCCCCCAGAGCCTCCTCACCCCCCCAGCCTGCCCTCTGGGAATCCCACCCCAAACCTCTCCCCACAACCCCCCCAGAGCCCCCTCACCCCCCAGCCTGCCCTCTGGGAATCCCACCCCCAAACCCCTCCCCACAAATCCCCCAGAGCCCCCTCACCCCTGCTGCCTGCCCTCTGGGAATCCCACCCCAAACCTCTCCCCTCACCCCCCAGCCTGCCCTCTGGGAATCCTACCCCCAAACCCCTCCCCACAAACCCCCCAGAGCCCCCAGCCCTGCTGGCTGCCCTCTGGGAATCCCACCCCCAAACTCCTCTCCACAACCCCCCAGAGCCTCCTCACCCCCCCAGCCTGCCCTCTGGGAATCCCACCCCAAACCTCTCCCCACAACCCCCCCCAGAGCCCCCTCACCCCCCAGCCTGCCCTCTGGGAATCCCACCCCCAAACCCCTCCCCACAAATCCCCCAGAGCCCCCTCACCCCTGCTGCCTGCCCTCTGGGAATCCCACCCCCAAACCCCTCCCCACCCCACCCCACCCCAGAGCCTCCTCACCCCCCCCCCCAGCCTGCCCTCTGGGAATCCCACCCCAAACCTCTCCCCACAACCCCCCCAGAGCCCCCTCAGCCACCAGCCTGCCCTCTGGGACTCCCACCCCCAAACCCCCTCCCCCACAAGCCCCCCAGAGACCCCCCAGCCCTGCTGCTTGCCCTCTGGGAATCCAACCCCAAACCCCTCCCTACAACCCCCCCAGAACCCCCTTCACCCCCCCAGCCTGCCCTCTGGGAATTCCACCCGCAAAACTCTCCCCACAAACCCCCCAGAGCCTCCTCACCCCCCCCCCCACCTGCCTCTGGGAATCCTACCCCCAAACCTTTCCCCACAAACCCCCTAGAGTCCCCTCAGCCCTGCTGCCTGGCCTCCGGGAATCCCACCCCCAAACCTCTCCCCACAACCCCCTCAGAGCCCCCTCACTCCCCCAACCCTGCTGCTTGGCCTCTGGGAATCCCATCTCCAAACCCCTCCCCAGAGCCCTCTCACTTCCCCCCAGCCCTGCTGCCTGGCCTCTGGAAATCCCTCCCCACAAACCCTCCAGAGCCCCCTCACCCCCCATCCCTACTGCTTGGCCTCTGGGAATCCCAATCCCCCCCGGAGCCCTCTCACCTCCCCCCAGAACCCTGCTGCCTGCCCTCTGGGAATCCCATCCTGGGAGCCCCCCTCCCCCTGTGAACTGTTCTTTCAGGAGCCCCACCTTGTAGAAACCCCACCCCTTCCTGATCAGGCCCTGCAGCTCTCAAGCCTGTGCCAGCCACTGCAAGGCCCAGCATGGAAATGGTAGCTGATCCCCCACAGACAGGGCCTGCTCCCACTGACTCAGCAGGTGCAGCTGACTAGCCACAAACCCTCTAGGCATATGGCATCCTGCTCCTGCCAAATCCCTCCTCTGACCAGCTGCTGCTGGGCTCAGCAGACCCCTGAGAACAAGTTCCTGCCTTCTGGACTGGTTCCTGCTCCTTGTCCCTGCTTCCTCACCCTAACTCCAGTTAATGACAGTCTGGGACCCTTGGCATGACTCCTGACTATGACCCTGACTCTACTCTGGGCTCCAGCCCCTAGGTCAGGCTGCTGATATTATGGGCCCTGACACTCCCCCAAGAACCCTGCTGTAGCAGTTCTTGGGGTATCCAGGAGTCTGAGTCATACTGTTACCCCCCCCACCGGGTGAGAGGGAGTCTTGCCTGTGGTAGGTGGGTGTTAGCCCCCTAACACCACCAGCCTTTCAGGCACTCAAGCCCTCCCCTCTGGGCTATGCCAGCTGCCCTTTCGGTGGAGAAGCACATGGTGATCACTGTGTGGAAGCTGGCAACTCCAGACTGCTACCGGTTGGTCACGAATCAGTTTAGAGTTGGGAAATTGACCACCTGGGCTGCGGTATTACAAGTGTGTAGGGCCATTAATTACATCCTGCTACGAAGGACTGTGACTCTTGGCAATGTGCATGAAATATTGGATGGCTTTGCAGAAGGTCTAGATAATATTTGCAAAAGGAAAAGGAGTACTTGTGGCACCATAGAGACTAACCAATTTATTTGTCTCTAAGGTGCCACAAGTACTCCTTTTCTTTTTGCGAATACAGACTAACACGGCTGCTACTCTGAAACCTAGATAATATTTAGTCCTGCCATGAGTGCAGGGGACTGGACTAGATCACCTCTTGAGTTCGCTTCCAGGCCTATTATTCTATGATTTTATGAAATGGGATTCCCTAACTATGGCGGGGTGATAGATGGCAGGCAAATTCAATTTTGGTCCACAGACCATCTTGCGATGGAGTACATCAACAGAAAGGGATACTTCTCTATGGTATTGCAGGCACTTGTAGCTCACTATGAGCATTTCACGGACATCAGTGCAGTGTGGTTTGGGAAGGTGCATGATACACACATCTTCAGGAACACTGGCCTGTACAGAAAGCTCCAAGCAGGGCCTTTCTTTCCAGACCAGAAGAGTGCAGCGGGGAATATTGAAATGCCCATAGTGATCCTGGGAGACCCAGTGTATCCCTTGCTCCCATGCTTCATGAAGCCTTACATGGGAAACCTGGACAGCAGCAAGGATAGCTTCAACAATACGTTGAGCAGGTCCAGACTGACTGTAGAATGTGCCTTTGGCACATTAAAAGCACACTAGTGCTGCCTTTATGACAGGTTAGACCTAAATGAAGAAAATATTCCTGTGGTCATACTAGCCTGCTGCATGCTCCACAATGTTTGCAAAGTGGACTGGGAGATATAAACAGAAGCTAAAAGAGGTAAAATCTGAACAGCTAGACTCATTGGTGTTAGTTCAGGGAAGTGGCTACTGGGCTATAAGGGTGGTCAATTTATGCCTTATTGCATGTGGTGGCGTAGTGTTTTATTGAAATCGCCTCTCCAGAGTAATCACATGCTCCAAGGTAACCACAACCCAGCATGGATTATTTTTTCCTGTGTGTGTGTATGTGCATCTGTGGAGAAGGACAGGCACAGGATTTTTCAATGTGTGTGTGATGCTGGCTGTGTATCCCTGATTTGGGGGAAAGTTGCCAAGTGCAGATTCCAGAGCAGTTTCAATTTCTCCGAAAGGGGCTCTGGAAAAGACATGTGAGACAAGCCACTGAAGAAACTGCCCAAAGGGGCAGAGGAGGGAATGTTTCTTAGGTTCCCTGCAAAACTCCATTTCTCACTGCTTGGGCTCTGCGAGCCAGTTCGTGCCATTCCTGAAACTTGTACGCTAGAAGCTTGAACCTGAAATCTGCAACACGACCTGACGGACAGCTCCAGCATACTCCAGATACTGCCTCTGTGTACTGCTCCACTTAGCATCCTGCCTGATTAGGGGTGTGTATATGGGCCTTGGCTCCACCCCCTTATTGACATAACCCGCCCATGGGCGGGGCTCGCCCTATACATAAATGGCCCTTCCAGCAGTGGCACGGCTTGATCCAAACAATCCCAGGTGCAGGTGAATTTATAATCTAGTGG